AGTTTGGATCTTTGCTAAAATTTAGGTAAAAGGTATATGTGATATCTTAAAGACGATAATTCTAACAGAACCATTTAATTTACACGGTCCTTGTTGCATGTATATAATAAAAGCATGGCACAGAAATAGATATACTTATGTACATTTGAATTTAGCTCAGTTTTACAATATGTAGGTAGATAGAGTATATTCAGTTAAATATTATGTTGGTACTTGATAAAATAAATTCTTCCCACATTGCAATCTTTACTTTTTGGATGGTAATGACGCTGATTTGTTCTAGGGTTGATTAAGTTTGCTAGGGTTGCCATAACAAAGTACCAGACTACATGGCTTAAACAACAGAAATTTGGTTTTTCACAGTTCTGGGGGCTGGAAGTCCAAGATCAAGGTGTTGGCAGGGTTGGTTTCTTTTGAGGTTGTCTCTCCTTGGCTTGTTGATGGCTGAGTTCTCCCTGTGTCTTTGCATGGTCTTTTTTGTGTTCTCATCTCCTTTTCTTATGTCAGTTATATAGGATTATGGCCTATCTTCATGACCTCATTTTACCTTAATTACCTCTTTAAAGACCCTGTTTTCCAAATACAGTCACATTTTGAGGTGATGAGACTTCAGCATATGACACAGATCTGTCCATAACAAGGGCATAGAGTGAATTCAGTGCAAACTGAAATTTTGGGTAACTAAAGTATGTTTAAGATGTAGAGCAGTTTACATAAATGTTTTAATTGTATACTTTTAAAAATTAGGCCTTCAAAATATTTTTTATTTCCCTTTACCTGGTTTAATTGTACAGATGTGGGGAAAGGGCAATTAAAGGCCGATGATGATAATGATTGATAATATTAATAATAATAGTAATAGCAGCTTATATTTATCAAGTACCATATTATATGTTCCAGGCTCAGCTCTGAGCACTTGTGTTTTAACTTGGTGGTGTTGGCATGGTCAGCAGGGAGTTAGGTCACCTTGTTTAAGGGTTTGTTGTGTTTTCTGGGCTATTCCCTAGGAATCCAGAGGTGGATCCTGGTTCAGTGCTCTGAGGGCAGTGCTCCAGGTTAGTACTTTTGTGAGGCTAGGTGGGATTCTTTGCAGACCACTATTTCATGAAATATCTTTGAGGTTTTAAAAATAGACACAGGCTTTTTTAGTTAAATGTGGAAAAGTTGAAACAGGAAGTAGTCTTTGGTGACAAACTAGGTTAAAAGTGCCCCAGATCAAGAAAGTCCTAAAATGAATATTTGATACTGTATTTCTATTTGGCCCATACCTCCATATGTCTCACATCGTAGTGGGACAGTACATAATTGTTCAGTAAATAATTGTAGGATGAATGAGTAGATTTCAATTAAAGCAAGAGGAATAAATAAGTCATAGCTGCAGTGCTCTTTTCAAAAGCTCATATTCACATCATCAGAAAGAGTTTTGTCTTCCCTCTTTCTGGCAGGCTTTTCTTTTTCTTTTTCTTTTTTTCTTTTTTTGCTAGCAAATATAGTGTATATATTAACTATATATTGATAAGAAACAGCCATTTGTACTCCCTTATTCTTTAATTCTCTCACATGTAAATTTGGAAACAATAGACCAATAAATAGTTCAGCCTGGATCTATAGAAACTTCTCCCTATAAGATTTCTTAGATGGGAACGGGTTATTTTTTAGCAGAACTACTTTGTCTGCCACTAGTAGGTGTAATTGGTAGCTGTGTATGCTTTTGCTTGACCATTTTAGTAATCTGCTTTATGGCGCTATATTTGGACCTGTTGGTGTTAAAAATGTTTCTTATAGCCAAATTGCAAATATCTTTAGATAAAATTTCCAGGATATTTGAAAAGTAAAGGAAAAATCAGAGAATCAAACTGTCAATGTCTGCAATTCTCTTTTGGAAAACTTTACATATTTGTGTTTGCATTGTTGTTTGATTAGTGTTACTTTGTGTTTCTAAGCAATTGAATAATGAATAGCCTTTGGGAACAAATGCCTATTTTTTGCAAAATTCTACTTCTCAGTATTCATATTTATGTGATAATTACCTTATTGGTCTGCTGCTAGTTTATAATTACCTTACTGGTCTGCTGCTAGCTTTATACTTGTGATCTCTTTTTTTCTTAGTTTAACTTATTTAATGGGTGAAGAATTTTAGATGTGGCATGAGAAGAAAAAATTTGGATTCCATATTATGAGAACAGTACTGCCAACTTGTTAACACAGTTTAGATTTATAAAGTTCAAAAAAAATTTCCTTAAACTAGAGATAAAAAATTGAATTAGATACTATACTTATTAGATATAAATAACTGCTTTTTGGTCTTAGGTCCTCTATCTTATTTTTCTTATTTCTATTTGAATTTATACAGTTTTCAGAGTATTTTTGTTGTTTTAATATTAGTGTGTTTCTGAGTCCCACGACAACTAAAATGGAGTTTCATTAATTGAAAACACCTGTTAAATTTAAAAGTATGTCTTTCTATGAATGAAATTTCTAAGGATGTCGAAAGAAATGCAATGGAATGTGACCGAGTTGAAATCAGCTGTACAAATCAGATCTCTGTGGTATATTTGTGTCTTGATTTAGGTTGGTTGAAGACTTTCAATGACTACTTTAGAGACAAGACTCAGTATATTTTTAATAACATGGTCCTGAAGCTGAAAGAAGACTCACGGAGGAAGTTTATTTGGTCTGAGATCTCTTACCTTTCAAAGTGGTGGGATATTATAGATATTCAGAAGAAGGATGCTGTTAAAAGGTTTGTTTTAAAACTTTTTTTGGAATTTGGTAATAATAAAGATTAATTGTACAATGAACTAAGTATTGAATTTTTAGATGGTGAAAATTCTTAGCTTTATATCTGAAACTTAAAATATTTCTTTACATCCCATTTTCATTGATTTTGGTTCATCCCTGAAAAAGCCATTTGAAACTTTTCCGTTTAAATCCTGTGTTCCATTGGGTACAGTAGCTCACTCCTGTAATCCCAGCACTTTGGGAGGCCAAGGCAGGCAGATCATTTGAGGGCAGGGGTTCAAGACCACCCTGGCCAACATGGTGAAACCCCATCTCTACTAAAAATACAAAAAAATGAGCCAGGTATGGTGGCTCACGCCTGTAATCCCGGCTACTCAGGAGGCTCAGGCACGAGAATCTCTTGGACCCAGGAAGCAGAGGGTTGTAGTGAGTTAAGATAGTGCCACTTTACTACAGCCTGGGTGACAGAGTGAGACTCTGCCTTGGGGGAAAAAAACCCTATGTTTCAACTTTGTCCCACAAATGGAATTGCTAGGTCAAAGCGGCTTAATATTTTGAAGGTTTTTATAAGCAAATAATTAAAGTGACTGCTGTATAGTTTGTTTTAGTGTATTTTTCAATCTTCCATATAGAGAGTGTCAGTTTCTTTGCCTGTTGGTCAGCAATAGAATTTTTGAAATCATCGGCCAATTCGATGGTTGAAAAATTTCATTTTAATTTCTATTTTTGATTGGTAACAATGTTCCGTATTTTCTCATACAGGGTAAGTTTTCTGTGACTTGCTTATTGTACTTTTTCTTACTGATTTGTAGGAATATTTATGTCTATTTATATTCCTTAACTTGTATTTTTCCTCAAATTTGTATTGTAGTCTTTTAGTGTTTGATATACACACTTTTAGCACATTTATGTACTCAAATCTGTTATTCTGTTTTCTTTAGATATTGGTTTTGCTGTCGTGTTTTAAAAAGTTTTCCCCAATCTAGAGGTCAAATAAACAGTGCATTTTCTTCCTCATTTCATTTTTTACCATTCACTTTAAAAAAAACTGAAAATTAAAAAAAATATGTTATGATGGGAGGTTTTATGAACTCCATGTATCCCTGGAGTTAAGAATTATCTTATAATGAATTGTTTAATTTATCTAATGTCACTTAGACAGCACTTACTGTGTTAGAGTCTGTTTAAGCACTTTACAAATTGTAACTGATAATCTTCTAAATAATTCTGTGAAATAGGTACAATTATTTTACTTGTTTTACACATCAGGACACTGAGTTGTCTAGGGTCACAGGGCAGCCTGGTATTCCATGTGGTGCAGGCTGTCTAGCTCTAGAGGATGTCTCTTTTGCACACTTTGCCATCCTGCATCCTTAAGATTGAATTAGTCCATTCTTTTCTTGTGATTTGAAGTGTAATCTTTATTATATTTAAATGTGCACTAGCTCCTGGGCATTTTGACCTGTTTCATGGATTTTTGTGTTTGACTATAATTGTTGTGCCTTTATGGTATATTACATTAACTGACGGTGAAGTTTCCCCTTGTCTTTTTAAAAATATATTTTTAGTTATTATGGCTACATAATAGTTGTACATATTTATGGGGTACATCTGGTATTTTAACATAAGCATGTAGTGTATAATTATCAAATCAGGGTAATTGGGATATCTGTCACCTCAAACATTTATCATTTTCTTGTGTTAGGAGCATTGCAGTTCTCTTCTTTTAGTTATTTTGAAATATACAATGCATTATTGTTAACTATATTTAAAAGTTCTTTTAATGAGTGAACATTTAATTTTCCCAAAGTGCTTTAGAATTAGTTTGTTAAATTCTTCATACTCCATCAAAAAAATAATCTCTTTGGATTTTGATGACAATTGGTGTAAAGGTTTAAAGATAATTTGGGGATAATTGATTTTTTATATTTCCATTGGCGTTTTTTTCCTCCCCCTCTCCTGATAGCAGGCTTAAAATGCTTATAGGTTGGGCTAGGAAGGTACTTTAAGTGAAGGGTATATTTTCCATAGGTAATGGGATGAATTAACTACCTCATCCAAAGGGGCTAGCCATACCCTCCCTAGCCATGTGCTGCCACTGGAACCAGAGTTGTCAGGATATCCTTCCAGTTACTCAGGACAAGCTAGAATTCCAAAATATTATGTAGAGATTTTACATTGAAATGTTAGCTATCAGTTTAGATGAATATCCCTGGACACGTACACATGTGCATGAGTAAACACACACACACACACACACACAGCCAAACAGATTACATCAGAATTTCTGAGTCTGTAGTTTAGATACACTAGTTTGCAACCTTTCAGACATTAATAGCTGTTTCGTGAAACCACATAGGCTTTGGTGTTTGTTTTATAAAGGGAATTTTAAAATTAAGTTTTAAGATTAAAAAAATTTTTGCCAAGTACAGTGGCTAATGGCTATAATCTCAGTGACTTGGGAGACTGATATAGGAGGATCACTTGAGCCCAAGAATTGGAGGCTACAGTGAGCTGTGATCATGCCCCTGCACTCAAGTCTGGGTGACAGGGTGAAACCTCGACTCTAAAAAAAAAAATTTTAGGCCTTTAGGTCTTAACATTACTACTTGAGTATGAATAATATTTCATATTTTCTGAGAAAATTATTTTGTAGCTGTTGTACTCAGTTTGTTTCTGATTTTAAGAATTTATCCCATCTGTAGTTATTTTTGCTTTTTTGTTAATTCTTTTGGGAATCTGATTTTTTTCTTCATTTTAATTTACTTAATTTTGTTGGTTTTTGTCCACCTTACCCTCCTAAAATCTACATACATTTTACCAATTTATATGCTATTTTCTCATTGTATTTTCCCCCTAAATATTCAATAACTGTACAACCATTTTGTTTTTGACTTGAGTATGTTAGAAAAATAATTTTCAGTTCGCAAGTGCTATTTTTTCTCAGTTATATTAAACTAGCTTTAATGTCTTATGTCTTATGGCCATAGAGTATGGACTGTATACTTTCTTTTTTTTGAGACTGAGTCTCACTCTATCACCCAGGTGGGAGTGCAGTGGTGCAATCTCAGTTCCCTGCAACTTCCTCCTCCTGGGTTCAAGTGATTCTCCTGCCTCAGCCTCCCAAGTAGCTGGGATTACAGGTGCCCACCACCATGCCTGGCTAATTTTTGTATTAGTAGAGATGGGTTTTTACCATGTTGGTCAGGCTGGTCTTGAACTGCTAACCTCAGGTGATCCACCCACCTCAGCCTCCCAAAGTGCTGGGATTATAGGTGCCTGCCACCGTGCCTGTCCTATGTTTTGTATTTTTAGTAGAGATGGGGTTTCATCATGTTGGACAGGCTGGTCTTGAACTCCTGACCTCAAGTGATCCTTGTGAGCCACCACGCCTGGCCTGTATACTTTTTATTCTTTAGAATTTTTTGAATTTTTCTTTGTGACTTAATGTGTAATCAATGTTCATGAAACTTCTACTGGTATTTGAAAAGGTGGTGTTTGTAGAATATAGAGTTTGGTATCTGCTAATTCAGTATTTTACAATTGCTGTTTTTATCGTCTTACAGTCAGTTCTGCTGTCATATTGCATACACATTCCTAAAAATCATGTTATGCAAAATTGTACAATTTTAAACCACAGGGCTCATGAAAAAATGCAGTTAGGGCACAGCACTCAAAAACTTCATTAGTGAAGTAGACATACACAAAAGATGGAAACCTAGTAAAGATGCTAATCCAGTTTTACCTGCGTTAAATTGCTTTAAATATGCTTAAATAAATATGCCAGTTTACCTTGAAAAAGACCTAAAGTTTGCTTGTGGAGGTATGTATCAGAAGGAATATAGATTCAAGTTATTACTGAGAAGCGGTGGCAAGTAGGTTATCCGAAATCTGTTGGAAAGTTGAATAGCAGATGTGGAGGACTGCCTTATAACCCTTGGTGAACTGAGAGAGCTGGTAGATGTTTATGGTGTGTGTGCCTTGTGTATTCCCTACACAGCTTTGTTTAGCTGAGTGCAGTTTTGTACCTTCATCTCCTGTTTCTTGGAGACTAAATTGTGCATAAACAAGGCAAAATTTATTTCCTCATACAATTAATCACTTTGGAACTAATTCCCATTTTTAAAACAAGTGTTTATAGCAGAACTGACTGTACTTATTTTTTGCTACTGTTCCCCTGTCAGCTTTTATTTTTTAGGTATTTTATGTTTTTTTTTTTTTTTTTCTTTTTTCCCCTTCTTGCCTGATCTTTGTTGGCTTCTATATTAGCTTATTCATTTATCCAACAGACACTTCCTGAGCATGTCCTGTGGGGCAGAGACTGTAAGGTTCTGGGTACTCCTAGACTAGTATTTATTTTTCTTCATTGTAAACTGTATGTATCATCATTGACACCATCTTTTCTCCTTTTTATAATTAATACTGTTATACTATCAATCTTCTGTTGTTCATTTGCTTGAATTTGCTGTCCTTTTTACTTGAAGGGCAGTCAGCTTGATGGCTCTAAAGGTTGGGAACTGGGACCAGGCTGCCTAGGTTCAAATTCTGCCAAGTCCCATCTACTGAGCGGCTTTAGGGAAGTTATTTAACTTCTCTGTACCTTAGTTTCTTCATTTGTCAAATGAGGATAATATTGGAACTGATTTTATTTGTTTTTTGTGAGGACTGAATTAATTCAAACACCATGCTTAGCACAATGCCCAGCACATTTTAAAATACCAATAAACATTGGTATTTTTTAACTTTTATTTGAGGCTGTGAGTGTTTCTCTTGGGTATCATATGTAATTTTTATTTCTGAAGTCTCCTATAATGGGAGATTTTTCTTTTAATATTTAATTTTTTTTTGAAACAAGGTCCCAATATGTTCCCAGGCTGGAGTGCAGTGGTGTGATCACAGCTCACTGCAGCCTCAACCTCCTGGGCTCAGATGATCCTCTGCTTCAGCTCTCCAGTAGCTGAGACTACAGGCGCATGCCGTCATGCCGGTTCATTTTTGTATCTTTTGTAGAGATGAGATTTTGCTATGTTGCCCAGGCTGTTCTCGAACCCTTGGGCCCAGGTGATCCACCTGTCTCAGCCTACCAAAGTGCTGGGATTGCAGGCATGAGCCACTGTGCTCAGTCCCTATAATGGGAAATTTTAATTATAATTTTTTTTTCTCTTCTGTCTTAAAAAAAGCTGTCTTACATAATGCTTCATTGAAGATAACTTCCCCTGTGCTCACTTATGAAATTTTAAATTTTCATCAAGTTATATATCCAAGTGTGTATAACTTTTCATTAAGATTTCCATCTACCAATTCAAATGTTTCTTTAGCTTATGTGTTCTGCACTTACTAATTCACTACTGCTTTTGTTTCATTTGTTTTAGAATTGAGTTACCTTGTTATTGTGTCTCTAGTCTCTCTTTTTCATATGCATTTTTAATTGGTTATATTTACTGTGTTTTGGGAGATCTTTCCCAGGAGTCTTCCCTGCTACCCCCTCAGTTCAATACTCTCTGGTATTGAGTCTTTTCTGGCTTTGAGTGTTTGGTTCTAACCTTACTTCTGTGCTTTTTGTATTGTTGTTCAAGTATTTTCCTCCTTTTAATTTGTGAGCAAGACCAGCTATATCCACACCTGGAATTTGTCTCAAAACATGATGTAACTTGCCTTGAATCCCTTTCTTTTCTAACCAGATACTTTCGGTTTCCTTGCTGTGGTTATTAGTTATTAGTGGCTGACCAGCATCCACTTCACCTGATTTCCTTTTGGGAAGTTGTCTCTCACCCAGAGAAGTCAAATCCTCCTCCTTGTTGCCCTAGCCCAGACAGATCAGCTATGAACTCAGTTAATCAGCATATTATTTCCCAGGGCTTTGAATCTTTAGAGAGTGAAGTGAGGGCTGACAGATGGAGGGAGGGAAGCAGACACAGAGAATGATTACTCATCATTCCTGACAGCACCTTGCATTTGCAAGACTCTTCCTGTGATAAGATCCCTGTGTTCCCTGCAGCATGACCTCTCATTTTCCTCCAGTTCTTTCTTAAGCCTGGACTTTTAACTGGTCTTCAGTTCTGTGTGTTCAAGACAGTCTCCAGAGTCAGTTTGTATTGCTTGCAAACCAGAAAGCTAGCTGATAGAAACTTAGGATCTCTCCTTAGTTGCTTTGTTGGAGAATTACATCCTGGAAGATAATATGAGAATCAGGGATCAGCAGTTGGGGAAGGTGCCCTGGTTATAAGAGGAGCTGGGACTATGAGAAGATCTGGAAAATGAGTGGGAGAAGAGAGAAGCTGGAGCTGTGAGAAGATCTGGAAAATGAGTGCCCCATCTGTAAAGGGCCTTCTGTTTCTTTGATGAAGCTACTGAGCCTCGGGCTGGCTTTCTGCATCTAGCTTTGTTTTTTGTGGCCTGTAAGCCAGGTAGGAGATGTGGCCTGTCCAGCCACCTCAGAAGGAAACTGGGTCTGCTGTCTGCTGCTTGTGGTCCAGTGAGGCCAGCCATGCTTGGCTCCCTCCCAGCATGGCTTCATTAGGGAGACTGCCTCTGCAGCAGTCACAATGCATGGGCAGAGAGGCTTCTGCAGAAGGGGCTCACACAAGAGCCATGAGGGTGAAGAATCTGTGATTAGTATCTATCCCAAGACTCAGCTTTGCTTCAGCCCTTGGCCCTCCAGATGAGGAGCTGTTGACAGAATCTCTCAGAATCTTCTAATTTATGCCGGGGTCCCATGCTGATTTTTCATGCAGGGCAGTTGCAGGTCAATACTTGAAATATTTCGGTTTTACCTGTGCCATATCTGTCAGAAATGCTGCCAATTTTACGGCCTGCAGATGGCCTCTTTCTCCTGACTCTACCTGGATGCAAATTTTCTCCCTTTCTCTCTTTTTACTTATTTCATTGGTTATTTTTCTTAGGTTGAACCATATAAAATCGCCAATATTAGACTGCTTCTGATATGCAAAAATGGCAATTTTATGAATCAGTCCAATATTAAGGATATAAGATGGTAAGATATTGGAGGGGACTACAGATTAGAATCTAGTCCTCAATCTTTGTCTCACTCAGACTCCCTCTGAGAACAGCTTGTTTTTGGCATTGGAAAATATTCTGGAATATAGGCTTGATCCTAAATGGTATCATTTTGCTTGAAGGAAAAATGGTTTTGTAGCCAGATTAGTTCGTTTCTGGTCAGGATTTCCTAACGTTCTCTCCCTTCTAGCTATAATAATTCACTTGTATTTACTTATTACATTTATTTGTAGAACTAGGGTAATAGCATTTCCCCCCCTACTTACTTTAACAAAACATTCTTAGTGTTAGTTGCTTAAATGTAT